CCGCCCAAAGAGATCCCCAGGACACCCCGAGGGGCCCCCAGGAAGCCCCCAAGAGGTCTCCAAAATGCCCCAAGAAGCTTCGAAGATGCTTCCAGGAAGCCCGCAGATGCCCCCAAGATAAAGGAGACGGCCCGACAAAGCGTCACAGCGTCTGACGGACAACACAAAAACCAACGTAATGCGCTCTATATGCATCCTCTTCTTGGCTGTTATGGGCTCGGAAGTCACGTCCACTTGTCCTCCAAGAGGCCTCCCCAGAGAGAGGCCCAAGAGGGCCAAATCATTCCACTTCATTTTTTGGGTGGGGGTGGGGGTGCGCCTTGTGCGGTTTGGCTATCCTGGGTTCCCGACGCTCCCAGACGCGGTCCAAGAGACCCCAAAGGGCGGCCCAAGAGACACCAAAGGATCTCTCCAAGACGGCCGAAGCGCCCCCGAAGACCGCCAAGACGGCCTAAGAGGCCTCGAATATGCTCACAGAAAGCCCCCCAGGAGCCCCAAGAGGGTCCAAAGACTGCCCAAGAGGGCCCAAGGATAGCTGGAGACGCCTCGACAAAGCGTCACAGCGTCAAAAGGACAACGCGGGAACCCGCGTAATAGGGAGCCCCGAGAATCCAAAATCGCTATGTTCCTTTGAATTCTTTGTCGCTTTTTCAAAGGGGAGGCCTTTGTGCGTTTTCGCTTTTCCGGTTCCCCGACGCTCCCAGACGGCCCAAGCGATCCCAAACATTGCTCCAAGACCCCCGTTGGAAGCCTCCAGAGGCCACCAAGAGGGCCCCCAAAGCCCCAAGAGCGCCCGAAGAGCGCCCCAAGATCGTCGGCCGTTGCCGGTGGCTCGCATGGCTAACCGCACACCTTCACACACACACACACACACACACACACCTTCACACACCTTCACACACCTTCACACACACACACACACACACACACGGGTCCGAAATTCCCAAACAAATCCCAAAGAGTGCAACGGGCAAGTTTGGGATTTTGCTTAGATTTTCGGGGGCCCTTTGGAGCCTTCTTCTGGTCCTATTGGGCCGTTCTTGGTGCTTTATTCGCCCCTTGTGGGGTGCTCTCAGAAGCCCCCCGAGGGCTCCGAGACTCCCCAGGGGGTGCTAATGGAGGTGCTGATGGAGTTGGTGCTGCTGGTGCTGGTGCTGGTGCTGGTGCTGGTGCTGGTGCTGGTGCTGCTGGTGCTGGTGCTGGTGCTGTTGCTGTTGGTGCTGCTGCTGGTTGCTCATGCTGCTGGTACGGCTGCTGGTGGCTGCTAGTGCTCCGGTGCTGTTGCTGGTGATGCTGCCGATGCTGCTGCCGCTGGTGCTGCTCTCATGGTGCCGACACAGGGTCTCTCTTGTCCTGCTCCTCCTCCGCTTCCTCCTCCGCCGCTTCCTCCTCCTCCTCCTCCTCCTCCTCCTCCTCCTCCTCCTCTCAACTGTTCCTCCTCGTGGTGTTGCTGCTGGTGTTGGTGCTGCTGTTGCTGTTGCTAGTGGTAGTGCTGCTGACGTTGCTGCTGGTGCTGCTGCTGTTACTGCTGTTGCTGGTGCTGCTGATGTTGCTGCTGGCACTGCTGTTGCTGCTGCTGGCGCTGCTTGTGCTGCTGCTGCTGTTGCAACTGGTACCGGTGCCCCCTCTGGAGATGTTTTTGGTACGGTCTCGGGGTCCTCGTGCGCCTCCTTTGATTTTCAGGCCCCTGGGCCCTGTCGGGGCCCTCACTCTTGGAGCTCTCTTGGACCGTACTTGGTGCGTTCCTCGGCCCTTTCAGGGCGCTCCGTGGAGCTTCCTGCGGGTGTGAAGACGCCCCAGGAGGGCCCAGGAAATTCCAGCAAATCCCAGGCAGTGCAACAAGGCAGGTCTGGGATTTTTCAGGGATTCTAGAAGCCATGTTCGAGCACTCTTGGAATCCTCTCGCGCCCTTCTTGATGCTTCCTTCGGCCTCCTCTGGACGCTGTCAGGAGCCCCCCGACAGCTCCAAGACCCCCCAGGAGGTACTGATGGTGCTGCTGTTCTTGGTGGCTGGTGACGGTGCTGCTGGTGCTTCTGCTGGTACTGATGCTGGTGGATGCTGGTTCTGCTCGTGCCGGTACAGTTGCTGGTGTTGTTGCTGGTGCTGCTGCCGCTGGTGCTGATGGTGCTGGTGCAGATGGTTCGATGCGAGCTAGGTATCTCTTGTCCGGCCCCCTCTCCGGAATGCTGTGCCTTTTTTCATGGTCCCCAGAACGGCAACCTCGAATCGAGTTCATCGAATTTTGCGCGGCCAAGGGCGCGAACTATTATCCAGTTCGATTCCTGAAGGCCCCTGGAACGGCGAACGAGAATCCAATAACCTTGTCGGGCCCCCAGAACGACGAATTGTGGTCTAGTTTGCCGTTGAGATGCCCCCCAGAAGGCCTACAGAACGGCAAAGTAGAATCGGCGAACTAGAATCTAGTTCGTCTGCCTGGTGCCCCCGAAAGGCCGCCAGAACGTTGAACTAGAATCTAGTTCGTCCCAGTGCGCCCACAAA